CAACCGGCCCCAGTCTAAACCTTGGGAAATCTAACAGCGTCTGCATCTCTTTAAAAACTATACACAGACATTTCTGGTCGAAGTGAAACCATGCTTCTCACAGAGGGCTGGAGACAGCCAACGAAGCCTTAGTCATACACAGTTAGTTTCAAACTTATGTTCCTGCTCACAGGGAGAAATCAATGTACAGTATATTAAAAACAATCACTGTGGCCCTTCAATGATCCAGTAGTTTAGCTTTGAATGCATTCAAGCTAATGGGGGCTCTAATGGCTTCTGACAGATCATTCCATTGATCAAGAGGAATGTATGAAATACGCTGCCTACTAAACTCTGTTTTGATTTCGAGAAAAGAAAACCAAACGTCCATGGTAAACAGCGCTTGATTGTTTAAATGTTCACTGAGGGGCCGCTCTGCCTGACCCTGGTCGGGAGCCGCGGAGGGGAGGACAATGGGAATCTTATATACCTGGCCTGCTTTTTTCGCTGGCTCTAATCAAGGCGTAATCAACTGGAAATCTCTGTCTGAAGTGTTGGGGGGGCAGGGGACAGGAGGGTGACCAGAGGTCCAGTTTTCCATGTTGGACGAGGTCCGAGGGATATAGCTTGAGCTGCTCTGAGAAACTGGGTCAGCCCTTTGGGGGCTCTGGAGTTGCGAGGTTAACTGTGCGTGCTCCGGAGTGAAGAACGGGATTCCCTATTGGGAAGGATGAGCGGGGTTTTCAATGGGGGAATGGCCGTTTTACAAAGAAGCTAAAGAAAGCATGCTCCCTCCATCTCGGTGCCCCAGTGCTGAACATACCTATTTGCAAGGATGGGCATTTTTGCAGGGTGCATGGGGTCTGAAAATGGATTTTTCTTTTTTAAGTAGACTCCATGCTGGGCGTGGAGCCCAACGCGGGGCTTGAACTCACAACCCTGAGATCAAGACCTGAGCTGAGGTCAAGAGCCAGATGCTTAACTGCTGAACTGACGGAGCCACCCAGGCACCCTGGAGTCTGAAACAATTTCAAAAGGGGCCTTGACACTGTTCTTCAAGATTACTGTCGTGTGGAAGCCGTTCACATTCCCTCGCGTCCTTGTGGGAGGTCTCCACTATGAGCCGTGGGCCGCGGCTGCATTATGCTGGCCTGGCCAGAGGAGAGCTGACGAAAATGTACGCCCATCCTTCGGTTGCCCACCCAAAGCCAACCGATCTCACAAACTCATGATCATCTTGCTTCCTTGCACATGCACGGGCTTCAGCATTCCCAAGTCCCTCCAAGGCCGTCTCCATGGGGGTGAGCCACGCAGTGCGGAGAAGCTTCTCCCGTGGGGTTTGATTCTCCTTGATGACCCTCTCCTTGTCCCAGAGGCTGGGAAGGGCAAGCAGGATGCCTTTGAAAACGGGCACCGCTAAAGGGCATGCTGATGCCTGGTGTGTCCTTCATCTTTAACACCGAGCAAGGCTGTGGAGGGGCTGAGCGAGATTGGTCACTAACTAAGCAGGTCCGAATGGCTCTGAGTGCACGTGGTCTAGAACCATCACTGGACTTCTCCTAAACTTCCTGCAGCACGGCCTTGACCTTCCTGTCCCCACGTGTGTGGAGCAGGGTGGGCTTCAGCCAGTGCTCCCCATTGAGCCGCAGGAAGCTACCGCACTTACCAGATTAAAAGCAACAGGAAACCCCCGGTGCTGGAAGCCGCTTCATTTGTATTTGGTGCCATGTTTAGTCAGTGGCTTTTGTAAAATTGATGAATTTTGTCTAAAGGCAAGTGCAGACAGGCAAACAGATCTGTATCTGCTGTTATCCATTTAGCCTGACACACATGTGCAGAGGAACTATTTTACCTCAATTCTTTCAGGACTGATGAAAAGTAAATGCAAGCAGAGTCATGAACTGCATCATTGGAAAAGAATCACTGAGTCTCAGGCTGGAAGTTAATTAATGCTTCCCTCCCCTTGAAATAGACTGACCCTGGTGCTCAGACATTCAGAGTCAATAAACAATTGTTGTACACAGATCATCCATTAGAAGGTGATGGCAAGAATTTTTTAAGCAAATCTCAAATTGCAGCGGGTGACCTAATCCCGCTGGAGTAACGGCAGGACTGGAAAGTCATTTTTCATAGGATCTCATTTATAAAAAGTTCCATGCCATCTGCCTAGGAAAAAACAGAAGTCAGAGAGGCAAATGGAAAAAATACAGGCGGTCACATGTCATTCCGGCATGAAGGACGAGACACGACGTGAATCACTTAATGTGTGTGATCTTGGTGACAGCGTGATCCCGTGAGCTAGGTAGGCGTCACTATCATGCCTGTTACATACACGAAGACCAGGGCACAGAGAGGTCAAGGGATTTGCCCACGTCCCAAAGGTACCATGGTTATCAGAGGAAACTGGGATAATAAACATTATAGCTCATGCCTCACTGCAGACCTATTACTCCAGGCATTTAATATGCATATTATTTTAAGATTTTATTCATTGATCTGGGATAGAGGGAGATGGAGAAACAGACTCCCCACTGAGCAGGGAGCCCGATGCGGGGCTCGATCCCAGGACCTTGGGATCATGACCTGAGCCGAAGGCAGATGCTTCACCAACTGAGCCACCCAGGCGCCCGTATGACAGTATCAAGTCTGCACAACAACCTCAGGTGGTACATACATTACTAGGATCCCCATTTTGAAGACAAAAAAACAAAGGTTTGAAAGGATGGTAGCCTTAGGGTCACACACAGGACCAGGATTCAAAGTGGGGAAGCCGGCAGCCAGGAGCATCGACTGCCCTCCAGGAATCAGAAGGAAAGCTGATGGATGCTAACAGGATAAACAGAATAGGGGTGCAGAGGACACAAGTTTTCAACCTGTGGGAACGGGCCAGAGGCAGGGGATGAAGGGCTGTGGGCGTCTTCGCTGGGGAGACAAGGCAGGACGCAGGGGACAGGTTCTCTCCTTCCTGGGAAGAGACAGCCAGGGAATCAGACCCTGCACACTTTCCCAGAGGCCCCAGCTGGCCCAGGAGTGTATCGGGGTCTCTCCGGTGAGCACCAGGGATCCTGGTGTATCCTTCTCCTGACGGCCGGGAAGCTGGCCTCCGGGTCCCAGCAGCCGCAGGTGTCCCTGTCCTGCAGGAAGTCATTACCTGTGCCTCTCCAGGCCCTCCCCTTCACCACCCCAGCCTCGACATCGCAGCAGCCCGGCTTCCGCGCAGCCGCTCCCGACAGCACTCCTGGGCCTTTCCTCCCCCTTTATGGTTGTCAAATTGATTTCACCACCGTGGTACCTATGGCTCTCAATGAGACTTAATTAAAAATACCATTTAATCACAAAGTAACAAAGGCAAACTGGATAAATGGCATTCCCACATCAGCGCCTCCTGGCCCGCTCTCTCCTCTCCTGCTCAATCTTTTTGGAGGAGAATTGCCTTTTCAAATAAGAATCCCCCTGTCTTCCACGCACTTGCCTCTGACAGAGCTCCAGAATAAACAGTATTTAGCATGGCATGGATCCAAATGTATGCAATTTGCCCAGTGGTAAAATCAGCCTTAACTAGAACAGGGGGAAAAAAAAAACCCACAAAAAACAAAAACCAGTTGCATTCGAAAATACGCTTCCCCTGAAACACGGAAAAACCCTTCTCCTGAAGGTCGGGTGTCCATTAAATAGGGCCTATGGACTCTCATTCCCAGCCTCCCTCAATTCAGCTGGTGATGGATTTAGAAGCTGATTCCTAAAACTGTGTCACAAGCGATGCCACGACCCTGCTCTTTTCTGTCTAGTGAGCTGGCCGCAGGAGCTGCTTGGGTGAGGCAGCAGGGCGGGGTGCCCCCTCACGCACCCGGGGGGGCCCCCAGCACATCCTCCCCATCCCAAGATCTTGGCCAGGGCGTGGGAGTCCCAGTGTGTGCCTTTGGACGGACCATCTGCTCTTTGAGAGACTCCCGAGAATCCAGAGAAGACGGCAACACCACCCCACGCAGAACCCATGGGTGTTTCTCAGGGGTCTGGAACGAGACCTACGCCCTGCAACCCCCCCCCCCC